AACGTCAGCCCCGCCTCCAGCAACACATCAATTCTTATGGGGAAGGATGAAATGGATTCACACTGCTCCCAACACATATCACTGCCTAATGAAATATGATTATTCCTTCAAGAGTAGTTAGACATGGCTATAATACTGGCTTTGGCCTTGAATTAGTCAAGGTCTTATAAATAAATAGAACTGAGCACTCTGAATAAAAAAAACAAAATGAATAGATAATAATAGTGTATTATCACGGTTAGTTCTCTAGGAAAGTCTAAGAAATTTGGTACTGAAAGACTTATGCTGAGAATTAGTATATAGTGAAGAATTTTCTCTTCTGAGAATTTCAGTTGTTACTAAACAGTCTGCTTATTGGTAGCCTTTTAATGCTATTTTACTGCTGAACTTGCTGTACTACCCATTAATTATCTATATTTCTCAACATGTTGTGTAACTTTGGATTCTCTTTAAAATATGAGTAAATGTAAATTCAGACTATATTAAAATATCAAGAATTATATATGTAGGACATTATTTTAGAACTTGGAATTATAATGTCAGGAATTCTGAAGTGAGCTGAAGAATTATTCGGAGGTAGTGAAACACCTTACTTCCTTAATAGAAAAGTCATTGTATCCTATTAGCCACTCAACCAGAATGGAACAGAAAAACAACATTATCCAAATAATGAGAAACACCATCAAAATGGAAGACCCATCCTTCGCATCCACAAGAAATCCTGAGTGAGCTGTTATTCACTGACCAGGCGTCTACTAGTGATAGTGACAAATCTTGCAGTCTTGTAAGACCATGTAATCCTAGGATTACTAAACCTGTTATTATCCTTATCCCAGTAGGAACTGTTCAAACAGGCTGGATATGGGCCAAGACTCAGATGAGGTAACAGTAGCAAATGGTCACTCTCCAGCCATAGGTCAACTGTAACTAAAATTACCGGATTAAAAAGACCATAAAAGATCAAGACTTAACTGATCGACTTTTATGGGTCCCCTATAGATAAACCCAATTAAGGTCACTATTTATTATGTAAAGTTAAAACTTCTGCTGATGATTAAATAGATGCTTGCTTGCTATGTTCATAACCTGTTCTTTACTGTAGTACAGCTGAACGCCAAAAAATATTTGTTTTACAGTTATTAAAATACAAGGAGAAAGTCTTATCAAGTCTTGTGTCAAAGTCACCTGCCAGCATAAGACCAAAACTTGGATATTCCTAAATGAATTGAGAAAATTAGTTCTTTAACTTATCCCAGCATTCGGTTTTAAAAAAATCAACATACTGGGTTACATGGATATTTATAATTACAATATGGCATTTGGCTAAATTAACCCCAACAGCTAAACACCAAGTGTATCAACACCTTCTCAGACACAATCCCATGTGGCACTGCAAGCAACATTAAAGGGGTTCACTGAGGAATCACGTAGTATTATTACATGATAATATGGAGTGCAGGACTCCTGTAACAAAATAAAAGTTTCTTTACAATCTTATGTCCTGGAAATAAGGATCATCCTTCTTTGGTCTTCTAACCAGTAATGTTGCAAGAAATTAGGAAGATTCCTTTTTGTCCCTTGCTCAGATCTGAGAGTTGGCTCAAGCAGGGGTGGGCTTCAAAAATTGCAGCAAGGGGTTCTCTGCCCTGTTGCTAAGTGGGCGTGGCCACTATTGGTGTGGCCTAGTTGGCCTCCTGCACCACAGCAGGGAGGGGGCATTTTTCACCCTCCCCAGGCTCTGAAGGCTTTGTTTGAGCCTCCGGGAGGGTGAAAACTGCTTCTGCCGGGCTCGAAGGCCCTCCGGAGGCCAGAAAGAGCCCCATTTCTGGACTTCCAGTAGGCCCGTTTTTTGCCCTCCCCAGGCACCGGAAGCTTTCCTCAAGCCTCCAGGAGAGCGAAAACTGCCTTCCCTAGGCTCCAGAGGCCGGAAACGGGCCTATTTCTGGATTTCCGGAATCTCTGGTAGCCCCGTTTCCCCCCCACCTTGAGCCTCCATGTGGACCCTGCACTTATCCGGCATGACAAATGGGCTACGTGGAGACTCCTGTGAGGGACAGGGAGGGGTGTGGTGGGTGTGGCCAGCCAGTGGTGGCATTTAGGGGTTTGCCGAACTGGGTCAAATCCGAGCTAGATGATCACCTGATCATCATGCGAACCCCCAGCAGCCCACCCCTGGAGACTGAGACAGTAATTCTGTCAAAGGAAGCTCTGCCTGATAGGAATATAATGGATTTGTGAGATCAGCTGTATAGCTACCATAGCTTAGGTAGAGATTGGAGTGATCTTCAATGGTAATAGAACTTGAGACTCAACATGTGGTGGAAAAGATCACAGCGGCAGAACAAAATGCATTTCAATTGGACAAAAGCACTGAAATCACTGGTGAAGTGCAATGAATTGTCTTTGTGCATGTTCCTGATTACACTGTATCTAATGGATGTCCAAGCCAGTAGGGGTGAAGTTATTGGAGTAGATCAGAAGATAAATAGTTCCCATGGGATGTTCAGGGAAATCAATTTGAGATCTGTGACTGGGATCAGTTTGCCCAGAGTTGGAATTTGTAGTCAGATGGATGAGATACCAACTTTTGTTATATTTATTAGGATCTAAAATAGGTTTGGGGGAGACATATAAAAGAAAATAAAAATCTTTCATACCAAAGCTGTAGATTATCTATGATGCCACAACTCGGTATCTCATGTATCCTGTCTACATGAGGTTTCTATTGAGCTTATGCCACTAGCTTTCACCAATGCAATGGAAAAGACATGAATGAATAATTTGCCTGGACTTGTGAGGACATCAGCTGGGGAGCTTCTTCTGTCATGCTCTCTTGGAAATGGAGCTATCAAGAAGTAGAGCTGCAGTCTGACAGTGGATGTTCACTATAGCTGCCCTGGTAGAACAGAACAATCCAGTCAATATTGGCAAGATTTAAATAGGAAGTCTTCACAGCAAATTGCCTATTCACTCTTACTGGCCCAACACACTGTGGAACTTTTTATTTAGTCCATGTTAATGCCTTGTCTTCTGTAACCCAAGAGGAAAGATATAACAATACCTCTTTTGCAGAGTGAACCTGAGGTCCTAGCCCACATATTCATTCAATGTCCTTTCTACAGCAGCCTCTGCCCTACCTTCATATTGTCTTTCCACTTGCTCTGTTCTTTGTCTTTTTATTGTTTACCTAACATTTCCAGGATGGTTGCCACAATTAATGCAGTTGCTATTGCTTTAAGCAAGGAAACATTATCCTACATTGTAGTATTTCATAAATAAACATTTTCTTATGCTTTCTATATTGTTTTATGTTTTCTCTTGTTACATTTCACTGGTCACAGGCTGAAATAAAGTTGCATATTCACATATACTATGTCTGGTAGCAATGTGGAAATAAATAAATAAAATACATATATATCTTCTAGTGTAGTGGTTTTAGTACTTTACTCATAAAGAAGGGTTTGGTATTTATTAGTATTCCACCAGTATCTATAGGGTTTTGCAGTTTGATCCATTTTTTTCTATTAATCATGTCAACACCTAAGTCTTGCAATCTTCTTAAAAAGTTTTTATAAAACATGGTCACCGACCATAATAAAGGCCAGTATCTCAACCCCAGCTAATGGGAATTCTGAGATAGTAGAGGCAGAGTATTTTCCACATTTGCAGAGGAAGAAAGGGAGATTTTAGTAAGATCAGTAAAGGAGAATGTAGCTTTCTGTGATTCGTAAGTTTGTAATTGAAAGTAAGAAACATCCTTATGGTACACTATATAGCACATTTATGATGGATTTGACACCCAGGAGTAAAACATACACTGTACCTATGGGAGATCCCTGGTTTATTTCCCATCACTTCCAGATGAGATGTGAAACACCTGAATTCAATAGGCTAGATGAATAGGAGAATAATAAAATGAAGGGTTCAAAATAATCTTGAAGATATTCTAGGCCAACCTAGGCCCCAAGTATCCAGCCTTTGTTTGGGTAGGTCCACAAAGAACAGCCCACCTCTCTTGATTTGTACAATACCTCTTACACTCAGACCATTTTTCCTAATGTGCATCCAAAACCTGCCTCCTTCAACTTAAACCCACTGGATTCGCCCCTCTGACCTTGTGCATAAAGTAACTTCCTCCTTGCCATAAGCATTGATTGTCTGCAATTCACTCTTTGTGTAACATGATGGAGTATTCCGTCTGGGGCAGGAATACTAACAAGTCAAAAAGAAACGAAATGCAAGAAATCAGTAGCAATAAGGAATCATAGCCGTTGCCAGGCAACGCAGGCAGCGATTGGCTGGATGGAGCAAAAGTATGGACTCACTTCTTCCCTAAATCCACCTCGGGTTCTTTGTCGCTATTGGTATAAAACTAACGCGCTTCTTCTCCTGAAACGACTCTAAGGTTTCAGATTTCCCATTTCCTGCATTCGATCGTGGGAGGATTAGGATCTCCTTTGGAGCTAAGCGCATTTGTACTACTCGGCGAGAAAGGGTGTTTGATTTGATTTTGATTGATTGATTTGATTGGGTTTGTATGCCGCCCTATTCCCGAGAGACTCAGGGCGGCCCCCACCCCCGTTTCCCCCACTCCTTTGCGAGATAAAATGCAAAAGGAAACACGCAGCGAGCCTGGTCCACAATCGTTCTTATGCCCCGATCGTGCAAAGGCAGAAAAACATCTTGCCAGCTCCCGCTCGGCTTGGAAAACGGGCTGGGCTGGGCAGGGCCGGGCGCACACGAGCCCGTGTATCCGGGCAACGGGCAAGCGCAAAGCCATTCGGAGGAAAACCGCCGGGGCTACCAAATCCGCGCCGCCCTGCAGCGAGCGCCCTCTCTGGGCTGCAAGAGAAACGCTTCTGTTTGGCTTTGCGCTTCCTATGGCTTTTCGGCTTCGGCTTTGCCGTCCGGACGGCGCCGGCAACAGGCTGCTTTGTGGCAAAGAAGAGCCACGAGGGCGCCCGTGCCCGCAACACACGCGCGCGCACACACACACTTACCCTCGCCCTCTCTCTCTCTCTCTCTCCTCCCGCCTTTTCTCGCGCAGCAACTTGTGGATTGCGCTGAGCTGCCCCTCACGGCCAGCCCTTCCCTCGACAGCCCCTCCCAGCCCTGGAGGAGGGGAAAGCGGCGCCAGCACACGCGAGAGAGCCCAAGTCGCCCGAGCAGTGCGCTCCTTCCACTCCCTCTTCTTCGCCCTCCCACAGTTTGAAAATGAGACAGCGCCAAGCGGGCTCGGGTTGCTCCCGCTTTCTCGCCAGCGCACCTGACGCCCGACGAGCCCACCCGCCCCCTTTCGCCTCGGCCCTGCCAAGACCGCTGCTCTCCCGCTTAGATCCGAGGGTCTCCGACGGGAAGCGGATCCCCCTGTCGGAAGCCTGAGCCTCGGCTATCCAAGCCAGCCGGACGGAGACAGCCAAGCCCCAGCTCGGAGCCTCCCTGCCCTCTTCTGCGATTTGCGACGGCGGAACCGTTCAGCCTAAGAGGCAGGTGCCGAGGATGCGCCTCGGCACACCGGCTTTTCTTACCGGCTCTTCGCCTCGTCTAGGGAAACGGCCCGGGGGCTTAGCGCTGCGCTGACGGGGTGGGTGGGGATCGTTGTTTTGTCATTCTCCGATTGCCTAGAAGGGAAAGGCGGGCCATCGAGCGAGCGTTTGGGAACGAGGGGGGAGGCAAAGGCGAGACCCGGCGACTTGGTTGCGTATCTCGAGCGGTGCGTGGGAGAGAGAGAAGCGGGTTTACCCGGGGAGGTCTTCCGAAGTTTAAAATCGGCCTGAAAGTCACGTCGAGCTTCTCTTCTCTACTTTGCAAGACGGGGCTGTTTACCAACCAGCGGCAGAAAGCATTTTCTTTTCGCTTGGCCAGGAGCCTGTGCCCTGGATGAATTGCCCTCCCCGCCGCTTCTGGTCTGGGGCCATTTGCTCCCAGCCCCCCCAAAAGGAGATATAATCCTTCTGCTATCTTGGTTGGCCAGACAGGGCCTTTTCCTTCCACGTCGGGGCTTTGCTCCCGGCTCACCGGGGCACTTGTTGCAGCTCCTCGTTGGGGTTTGGGTGGCCTTGAGGAGACTTCCTTTCCTCCCCCCAAAATAACGGCGGCCGTTCAACCGAGGTCCATCTCACTAGCTCCCTCAGGGCACAGCAGGTGCAGGGCCTCTCTCTGCTCCCCCCCCACACCTCCTGCTTCTGGGCCAGAAGGAAAAGGGTTATCAGAAGCACTTCTGGCCCACCTAACCTAATCTATGATCAGCTCGGTGTGTGTCTCATCTTACCGTGGGCGCAAATCAGGGAACAAGCCACCCTCCAAAACATGCCTGAAGGAAGAGATGGGCAAAGGAGAAGAGTCCGACAAGATCACGATCAACGTGGGGGGCACCCGGCATGAGACCTACAAGAGCACTTTGCGCACCCTGCCTGGCACCCGCCTGGCCTGGCTGGCGGATCCCGATGCCCAAAGCAATTTTGACTTTGATGGGAAAAGCAATGAGTTTTTCTTTGACCGCCACCCAGGCATTTTCTCTTATGTCTTGAACTACTACCGCACAGGTAAACTACACTGCCCGGCGGACATCTGTGGGCCCCTCTTTGAAGAGGAGCTGACTTACTGGGGCATTGACGAGACTGATGTGGAGCCTTGCTGCTGGATGACTTACAGGCAGCACAGAGATGCGGAGGAAGCCCTGGATATCTTCGAGAGCCCTGAGCCTGGCAGTGGGCTGACTGGGGAAGAGATGGAAGATGAAGGGGCCCGGGAAATGACCCTTCAACACCTGGGCATGGAGGATAGGCCTCCTGGGGCCTCAGGAGGAGGAGGATGTGGCTGTTGTCGGAATTGGCAGCCAAAGATGTGGGCACTTTTTGAGGATCCCTATTCATCAAAGGCAGCCCGGGTGAGTCAGTAAGAAAGGGCAGTGAGAGCCGGTTTCCTAGGGTGGATGGGTAGGTGGATAGGTATATGCCCCACTTCTAATGCCTAGGGTACAATTGCATGCCCTTCTGATATGTAGGACTACAAGTCCTATCATTCCCAGGTAACATTCCCAGTGACCTGTTTGGGCGACAGGCACTCTATTGTAGTGTATCTGATTGGGGAAGATTGAATTAATCACTTGGGTTTGGGGACATACAAAACAAAAAAGTCTCCCCCCCTCGGTATGTTTCTTTGCAGATTTACTACTATAGTTACTTTACATTTCAAGCTCTCCAAAGTTTTCAGTGTAGTTCTTCACCTGAGACTGACCTCTGCTTTCTCTGCTGCTGCTTCTCTTCTCTTATTTTCCCCTTTATTTGCCCTTTCTTATTCAGGTAACAGGTCTTGCTCTTTTTCATTGTGTGTGTGTTTTTATTGTGCATGGTGAAGACTTAGCTGTTTTATACTCCCCAGTTATTTATCAGTACTGCACACGGATACTCTCTGCAGACAACAACAGTGCTTATATTTAGGGGTCTCTTTGGAGGTTTGGAAAAATCTGTTACCAGCACACCCTTGTATCAGATTTCCCCCCCTCCCGTTGAATCCAACATTTGACAATTAGACACCCCCCCCCTTTGTATATTCTATTATTCTAGCTCCAGGATTGCCAGGTGCTCTGAATTTACTAGTGGTATAAGATGTAGTGTACCTCAGAAGAGGGATAGTACTGGTAGATCCCTTGGTATTAGTTAAGACATTTCTAATTCTCCATTATTAAAGAATAATAACAGGAGAAT